AATTAATTTTGTTTAAAATAAAGAAATAAAGATAAATTATTTTTAAGTTTTAATTTTTCAAACTCATTCTCAAAGCACACAATACTTCGATTACATTCACTGATGCAGTGATGCATAATTGAATACTTACCATATCTCAAAGTTTTATAGGGAGGTACATTTAGTTTTCCATTATTGATGTTTCTAGTTAAATGTGAATGTATAAATCGAGTTTCAGTGAAGAAGGTTGTAATAGGGGAAGGTAAATTTTTAATAAGAGAGTTAAAAACAAAAAGAAGATTAGCAAGTCTAGCTAGTGCTGACAAGGTAGAAATTTTAACTTGTTTGAAGAAGCTTGAAGTTTCTGTATTATGGAGTTGAAAATTTATTATTTAGATTGGTTGGCACTGAGCTAATAATAGTTTATTAATATTACAGTTGCCAATTTATCCCCAAACCTGACAACAGTAGTTAAGATGAGACTGAAAATTTGCAAAATACAGATTCTTAAAGGTAGTTTTATCAACATAATGGCGAATTATTGAAAGTGGGCCATTGGCTTGATTAAGTTTTTTAACTTTTTAACTTTTTATCAATAAAAACATCACAAACGTATCCAGTGCCTTTTTTAATTTTTCGGTTGAACTTATCAAAGCATGGCAAGTAGAGTGTTTTGATCGAAATCCAAACTGAAAATCATTTAAACAATTAAAAGCTGTGCACCAGAAATAATGGAAACTTCCTTGGTCTTATTGCTTTGTCATTATTAATTACATAATCAGTTAAGATCCAATTTTGATGGAGCATTTACGGCGAATTGAAGATGGAGAAAGACGTTCACAAATGCTAAATGTCAATATTTAAAACAAAGTCACTAACCTCTTAGCTTTGCATATAAAAAAAGCTATTGTGAACGAGGTAAAAAGTTGAAAGTATTTTTAGTTATTATGGATTGCACTGCAGACCTTAATAATAACTGTCTCATTCTAACCTTCTAATTGAATAAATAAAGTCTTGTATGCTAGACCTAATTAACTGTAGAGGTTAAGGCTATGACAAAGAGTCTAATATGGTTACAATTCAAAAAGGTGTTCAAGATTGAGTTTCATCAGAATACCCACATGACTCATTTACAACCTGTTGTTGCCTAAACTTGAATGAATTTATATCAGATGGGGCTAAATCATTTGGTTAAGCCTATATTGCTGTTGAGAGTTTTTCAAAGAATCTGTATAACTTTTTCTGCATCAATCAAGCATTGACCACTTTCTTCTTGCCCCTAATTGACACAATTGAATCATCTTTAGAAGACAGAATGAACAAGTTCTCCAAGTAAGAGTCAAAGTGAGGATTCCTATTTGACCTGAAAAAACTACCATCAAAAGACTATTTAATAGTATTAAATGTGTTGCTAATTACATTATAGCTTACTCATACACTATAACTGCAACTTAAACTTTAAGTTATATCTTAATTAACTTAACTTACAAATTTTAATAACTTTAAATTATAAATTAATTAACTTATTGTAATAGTATTACAATATTATTTTTAATAATTCTTTTTAGTTAACATGATACTTGAAAAAGTAAAAGTAAAAATGCAAATTTATTAAATATTTAAACCACTTTAGTTAGTTATAGAAAACTATTTAATATATTCTTGCTGTTAATAAAACACATAAAAAGCTATAAAACAACAATAAAACAAATTGCAATGGTGTTTTAACAATATAAAGAGCTTGTGTTAATGTAAAACAACTTTGCAACGCTGTTTTATTGCTGTTTTATACAGTTTGTAACATTAATAACATAAAACATGTTTAAATTAATAACATAAAACATGTCTAAGGGATTGTCCATAAATTATGCAATGCAAAATATATTTTAAAAGCAGAAGAGAAGGTATTAAGCTCTTTTATGCAGTGGTTTTCATTAAACTTAAATGAGCTATTTTAATTTTTTATTTAAATTAAGACTCTGCGAGGAACAACTTTGGATCTTTTTTGTTTTGTTTATTGTGAAAGTTTGCATTATGTAATTTATGAAGGATCCCTAATTATAAAACTACTAAATTAAAACATCAACATAAAACTTCATATTTGCGCAAAAACATGCCTATAGTCTATACGAGTCTATAATTTATAGAACAAACAATGAAAAAAAAAACATTAAATACCATTTATATTAGATATGCTTTTTTGTAATTTATTGTTTCTTGATCTAGTGGACTATTAAAAAGTATTATTAAGTATAACTATTTTTTCATTCAAATAGTTTTCAAGTTGATGTTTTTATTAAATTTTATTATTCAATTTTTTTTGAATAAATTTTGAAAGAAAAAAAATTTGGTTCAATAGTTTTATAGTGAAAATCACTCCTGAAAGTTAAATACATAGTTAAATATGCATTTAACTTTCAGGAGTGATCCTCGCTTGGTACGACAGAGGCTGCTGCAATTAAATTTATAATATTGAGCATTAAAATTCTTTTTAATTTTTTTAATTTTTTTTTTATTTCAATTGCAAAATTATTTTAATATTTCAATTGCAAAATTATTTTAATAAGAAAATTTTAAGACTAAATTTCAATAAGAATTTTAAAACAAAATTTTTTTTGTTCAAATAGATTTCCTTTTAAAATAAAATAAAATATAAAAAAATGGTATCGCGTTTTTCATATTCTATTCAAGATTTTTTGTTAAAATAATTCTTAGTTAAAAGATTTTTTTATGTGCACAACATAAAAGATAAAACAGAAACATTTGTATGGCTAACTTTTGCGAGTCTTATATATTGCAAGTATATTAAATAGGTGATTCAAAAGTAAATTTACTGCAATGAGCTTTATCTATTCAGTAAATCAACTTATAACTTTAAAATATTATTGGCTTACTTGGAGATTTAAATTAATTTATATTTAAAAGTGCTTTATGTTGAATGAAAACATCCGCACAAGAGAGCAAAAATCGTACTTCTATTCAAAAGATAAATTTAGCGTGACATACTTTATGACCCCTAATAAAAAACTCAGACAAAAACTTTACTTTTAAGAATGGCCTGAAAAATGCTTAATTAGAAAAGAATAAAAATTAGTATACAAACAAACAAAACAAAAAAATCTCAAAAATATATTTTTTAAGAAAAAACTAATTGTGAAGGTGTGAATAGCAATCCTAATTCGCAATCAAGATAAGCTTTATTTGAGCCCTGTATATATATATATATATATATATATATATATATATATATATATATATATATATATATATATATATATATATATATATATATATATATATATATATATATATATAGTATATATATATATATATATTCAGGTTTCTTCCTATCATAAGCAAGGTTTTTGAATCTTTAATTAGCAAACATTTAATCTCTCATCTTGAATCTAATTACTTACTTTCTGATCATCAATATGGATTTCGATCTTCTCCTTCTATGGCTGATTTGCTAACAGTAATAACCGATAGGTTTTATTGTGCATTAGATAAAGGTGGAGAGGTTAAGGCCCTCCCTCTTGACATTTCTAAAGCGTTTGATAAAGTTTGGCATGCTAGTCTTCTCCATAAGCTTTCTTCTTACGGTGTATCTGGAAACATCTTTAAGATGATTGAATCCTTCCTTTCCAATCATAATATAAAAGTTGTCCTTGATGGACAGCACTCTTCTTCTTATTCTGTAACCTCAAGGTTTCCTCAAGGTTCAATCCTTGGGCCTATACCTTTTTTAATTTACATTAACGATCTTCCAGACATTCTCACATCTAAGGTGGCATTGTTCGCTGATGATACTACCATTTGTTCTTGTCATGATAAGAAGCCAACTCTCTCTCTCTGATTGCTTGGAGGGGGCATTTAAGCTTAATAAAGATTTCACTTCTGCTTCAGCATGGGTTCACAGTGGCTGGTGAACTTTAATTCAGATTAAACTCAATTCTTTTCAGCCAATTATTATCGCAATAATTTAGACCTTCCTGTATTTATGAACGGTAATGTACTCGATGAGTCATCTACCCTTCATCTTCTAGAATTAACTCTTACTTCTGACCTTTCTTGGAAACCTTATATCAAATTTGTTGCAAAATTAGCATCTGCTAAAGTTGTATCTCTTTATTGAGCTCAACACTTTCTAACTCTGGATTCTATTCTCTATCTCTATAAATCTCAAATTCGTCCTTGTATGGAATACTGTTGCCATATCTGGGGCGGATCTTCTAATGATGCTCTTTCTCTTTTAGACAAGGTGCAAAAACGCATTGTAAACATAGTTGGACCTGCTCTTGCAGCCAACCTTCAACCTTTGTCACATCATCGTAATGTTGCTTCTCTTTCTCTTTTCTACAAATACTATAATGGGCACTGCTCTAAAGAGCTAGAGTCTCTTGTGCCATCTACTAAAATTCATTCTCGTGTTACTCGTCATTCAATTAAGTCTCATCCTTTTTCTGTTACTGTTCCTAAGTGCTCCAAAAATTCTTATTCATCTAGTTTTTTCCCTCGAACATCAGTTCTTTGGAATTCGCTTCCTTCATCTTGCTTTCCTAATTTCATATAATTTGCAATCTTTTAAGTCGTCTGTCAATCATTATCTTGCTCTACAATCTTCATTTTTACCCTAACCCTCAGTCAATGTAGCAGCACTCCGTTGCGAGTCAGGCTATTTATCAGTTGATGTAGCAGCACTCCGTTGCGAGTCAGGCTATAAGATAGTTGATAAAGCAGCACTCCGTTTAAGTTGCAATTTCTTATTTAAGTCAATATTAATATTTATTATACATAGTATAATTAAATATTTAAAAAAATACCTGTAAAAATTCAACATTTCACAATCTGTGCAACAGCGCTATCCATTTCACAAAATGAGCAAAAAATTGTTCAGTTCGTGAAATGCACAATTTCACGATCTGTGCGTAACATATATATTGTAAGAAAGTATAATTTTTTGAACAATTTCATGATTTTTATTATAATTTTTGTTAAAAACAATATAAATTAATCTTTAGATAACAGATCATTTGGGTAAAGCAAAGTTAGACTTGATAATTGCATATACTGCAAACTCGCTGTTTTGGAGTAAGTTTTGAGTTTTTTTGCATAGCATGTTGATTTTAGTAGGGATAAAAGATAAAATAAAATTTTTAAATTAAGAATATAATTAAATGCTAGTTAACTTTATTATTAGAAAAAATATATTTTTTAATGAATTTGATATTTAGATTGAGTTTTAAAAAAAAAATGTTTAAAAAAACATAAAAAATGTTTAAAAAAACAGAAAAAACGTCTTATTAAAAAATTTTTGTTTTTGTTTAGTTTTCTTTTTTATTCTTTAAGATTTGCGTTGAGAAAAAAAAAAAAAATTCATGCATTTTTCGAATAATTATAAGGAAAAGTAATTTTTGTGCAGCGGCTCACTTAGTGTCTATCAGGAACCACTAGATATTTTATGAAAAATTCCAAAATAGGCTTAAAATAGGCTTAAAGAGCACAATAAAAAATTCTGTATTTTTTATTAAGCTCTTTAACTATCTCATCTAACTTTGATCTTTTTGTAAAAGCTAAATGAGATAATGCTTTTATAAATGAGATAATGCTTTTATAAATGAGATAATGCTTTTATTCTTAGTCAGCAAGAAGAATGTTTGAGGTTTTCATGTGTAAGCCAATAATTTCTAATCTTTTCATAACAAGAACAAGTCTTTAGTAAAACCATTAGTATCAAAACAGTTAACTGTCTTTTTGACACCTTCCTTGAGCCATTTTAGTTGCTTTACTGGACAAGTTGTACCAGGTGATTTATCAAACATACTTACATCTAATAATGCTTTTGAATGTGTGGTTGCATTGTCAACAAGAATATCAATTCGAAAATTTACAGACTTCATTATTACGCTATATCTCAGTACAATTAGAAGTCGAGTGTATTGAGTTAGAATTGCTTCATTTTCAAAATAGCAGTCTTTTTCTGGTGTGATAATGCTTGTTGCTGTTTGAGAAAAAAAGTTTAACTCAGTTTTATTTTTTAGTTGCATTTCCTCTCCTACAGCTTTTTTTATTCGCATTTATTTAAAGAAAAAGTTGTTAATTTTGGATGGTACACTATAAAGTCACTCAATATTCTACTGGCTTCTCTTGCTTTATTAAACATTAGACTATAGAATACATGGAGCGGTTAGGTGATTGAGTATCACCTGAGTGCAACCTACTCTCATCATGAGCCATAACTATTCTCGCAGTTTGAATGTCTGGAATGCTCCAAAGGCATTTAGAAGTTGTTGATTTTTTTTTTTTTTTTTTTTTTTTTTTTAACATCTTCGCTTCCAACAAGGCTGCAAGCAACCACTAATTAGTGTTGGAAGTTACTGGAAGAGAAAAGATGAAGATTCTAGAGCAAGATAACAATTGACAGACGACTTAAAAGATTGCAAATTATAAGAATCAGGAAAGCAAGATGAAGGAAGTGAATTCCAAAGAACTGATGTTTGAGGAAAAAAACTAGACGAATAAGAGTTTTTAGAGCACTTAGGAACAGTAACAGAAAATTTTTCAAAAACATTTAATAGTTCTATATGTTGTCAGCAAAATAATTTTGATGACAACATAACCAATGATTTTTACAAGCTACAGTGTCTTCTCTTTCATGCCGATTAACAAACTGATGAGCTTTGTTATTTGACCAAAAAAATCTCTAACTAAAGAGTAAGTAAGCTTTCACTATATTGTGATCTTTTGCCTTCTTTTGGTTCAATTATAACCGCCAGAGAATCTTTTGATTTTGACCCTTCTAAAAAAGCACCAACTTCTTTTCGGATAATATCAATGCTTAATCAACTATTTTTCTGAGAAACTTTATCAATGATCAAAGCGTAAATATGTTCTTTTAAATTTAAATTTAAAATCTTCAAACATTGAATGGCGATGGTTTTTAACTTGATTGTCAGAAAATAGAATCTCTTTTCCATTAATCAATTTAAAAATTTTTTTCTGTGCAGTTGTATAAGTTAATGCTCCTTAACTCTACATAATTCTGCTTCTTTAGATTCGTTGGAACTTTAGTAGTAGTTTACTTTAATTTTAAGTACTTTAGTTAATTTTAAGTACTTTAGTTAATTTTAAGTACTTTAATTTTAAGTACTTTAGTAGCCATAAATCCCATAAAAATGACTAAATAATCGTTCCATTTTAAATCCCCGGTTTCTTTCTTGCATAGCATTTGTAACCATATTGAGATAAAATTTGCTCAAATCTTCAATATTAAGTTCTTCTTTCTCCAAATCAAAAACTTTTCTATTACTTTTTTTAAGCATTTCTTTAGATATTGACCCTATCTTCTGAACTGTAATATGAGTAAGGCATTTTATTTTCATTTCATTAAGGTGTTGATTACGCGTACTTAGAGGAGCTTTGTTAAAAGTCATTAGTTTTTAGCATGTATTTTGTCAGGCCTGAATATTAATATATCTAATAAATCAATTAAAGTTAAATAGGGAATTAATTATAGATAAAGCCTTATTTTTTTGAAACTCGTAGTTATTTAATTTAAATTTTATTAAATTTTAAAATAGGAATCATGTTTTACAGTTTTTTAGCCAAAACTATATTATTTTATTAAAAAATTGCTTCATATCTATGTTACTGGCACCATTACCCTCATTTTAAACCTGTTTTAAAATTTTTTGGATATTCCGAGTGGTCCCTAATAAGCCACAAGGCAAACCTTACCAAATAATTACTTTTTCTTGTATTTCTTCCAAAAATGTATAAAAATTAAAAAGTTTTTTTTATTAAGATAATTAATAAATAAAAAAAAGTAAAAAGAAAATTTCAAAAAATATTATATATATTTTTTAATTAATTCAATTTTTTGGCCATTAATAAATTTTTTTTATATTTCATTATAATTTATAATTTTTCATAATTATAATTTTTACACAGTGGTTCCCGATACCAGTGAGCCACTGTCCAAAAATTACTTTTCCTTATAATTATTCAAAAAATGCATAAATTTTTTTCTTTTAACCCAACTCCTATAGGACAAAAAGAAAACAAAACAAAAACAAAAATTTTAATAAGAAATGTTGTTTTTTGAATTTCAAGAACACTTTGAGGAGCAAATTTTTAATAAATTTTTTTCTTCTTTTCCAGATATAGTTATATAGTTTAATGGTAATAAAGAGTTGTAAACTGAGTTTTTTAGTTAAAACTCAGTTTACAACTCTAACATTAAAGCATGTTTATTTATCATATTATTTTGTTTTTTATAACAATAAATATGAATGGTTTTGGGAGAAAAATTTGAGAGGCCATAATTTTTGTCATGCAATGTTTTAAATGTTTTTGACCCCTACTCTCGTCTCAATATGGTAACTCTAGTAAAAATTTCAGTACAAGTCTTTTTTTTATACAGTTAACACAGTAAAAATGGATTATCTATCTAAAACAACGTCAATTTAGAACAAGAAACATATAATACGCAAAGGGCCAATCTTTTATTCTTTGCTCTTTTAATTTATTTTTGTCAAACAAAATTCAATTCAATTTAAAATTCATTAATCAACAGAGCAAATGAAAGTGAAACTTGACTAGTTTTTTTTTCATTTTTATTTTATCATTAGTATCAGTATTACTATTCGGTTTTTTTTAAAAAGAAATCTATAAGTAAATTTTTAAATATATCTATAAATTTATAAGTTAGAAATAGTCTTGCATTATTAGTTTTTTTTCTCAAATGACCTTGTTTAACAAGATTTGTGTTTTGGAGTTTAGATTTAAGCTTTGCATTCGTGTATTACTTTTGTATTAATAAAAAGAGCTCTCATAACATTTCTCTAAATACCTTTTGTCATACAGGCAAATTGAGTTTATTGTTCTGATTTAGGGTTTGTAAATTTACTGACTTTTTGATTTACCGGTAATTTGGTAAGGGTCTTCATAAAGTGTATACACAGGTATGGGGTGAGGGAGTGTTTAAAACATACAAATGAGTACAAGAAATTTAAAGCGTACAAATGAGTACAAGAAGTATGGGGTGTCAAAGAAAGCAAGTATGTATGCGATTTAACTATCTTTCGTTCTCTATTTTTCCTTAAAACTTTATTTATTTTTTGTTTTTAATTTTATGTTGTGGATAGAGAAGGGTTGATTTTGTAATAAATAATGCATATGTATGCAGAGGGGGGGGGGGGGGAAGGTTGTTAAAAGTATATAGGTCTGTACAAGGGGGGAGGGGTCATTAATCATTGGTATTACTGCGTATGCACTTTTACCCCTAAATAAAAATTATAATACTAGTTTATCAGTAAATTATCTGTAAATTTTAACAATAAAATAATACAGATATAACCATTTAATACCATTTCTATTAAATAGCATTTTTTGTTTTAAATAAATTTTTAGAGAGTTCAAAATATCCAATTTTAAATAAATTTTTAGAGAGTTCAAAATATCCATTTTAAAATAAATTTTTAGAGAGTTCAAAATATCCAATTTAAAATAAATTTTTAGAGAGTTCAAAATATCCAATTTTAAATAAATTTTTAGAGAGTTCAAAATATCCAATTTAAAATAAATTTTTAGAGAGTTCAAAATATCCAATTTAAAATAAATTTTTAGAGAGTTCAAAATATCCAATTTAAAATAAATTTTTAGAGAGTTCAAAATATCCAATTTTAAATAAATTTTTAGAGAGTTCAAAATATCCAATTTTAAATAAATTTTTAGAGAGTTCAAAATATCCAATTTAAAATAAATTTTTAGAGAGTTCAAAATATCCAATTTTAAATAAATTTTTAGAGAGTTCAAAATATCCAATTTTAAATAAATTTTTAGAGAGTTCAAAATATCCAATTTAAAATAAATTTTTAGAGAGTTCAAAATATCCAATTTAAAATAAATTTTTAGAGAGTTCAAAATATCCAATTTTAAATAAATTTTTAGAGAGTTCAAAATATCCAATTTTAAATAAATTTTTAGAGAGTTCAAAATATCCAATTTTAAATAAATTTTTAGAGAGTTCAAAATATCCAATTTTAAATAAATTTTTAGAGAGTTCAAAATATCCAATTTTAAATAAATTTTTAGAGAGTTCAAAATATCCAATTTTAAATAAATTTTTAGAGAGTTCAAAATATCCAATTTTAAATAAATTTTTAGAGAGTTCAAAATTTTATATTGGATTATTTCTACTTATTCCTTTTCATTAATTTCAAGCTTAATTATAATTAGCATTTCAATATAATTCTATAATAAAGAATTTTGATATTATTCCATTATTTGATACAGTTATTCTTTTTCATTTTCCTGCTTGTTCCTTTTTGCGATTTTGATGCTGTTGCTACTACCCGTTAAATCAAGATCTAATTTTAGTGTAAATTAGTCTCCAGCTCCTGAAAATACTCTTTCTGTTTCAAGACTTGTTGGACAAATAAATGTTGGATAAATAGTCATTAAATAAATAAAAATAATAAAAAAACTATTTGCTTCATTGAAAGTAATCTAATTCTTTTATTATTAGTATTTTTTTTCCTTCAGTTTCTTTGACTTCTATTGCTAGGTTCTGCATTATTGTGCAAGATTCATACTACTATTACAACAATACTTTTAATAGTTGCAACTTGTGGTATTGAAACTGTCTTAATTGTTATTTATTTTAAAAATTTCGTTTTTCCTACGTTAACATAACATATTAATTCTTTTTTTAGTGTAATGCTTAAAAGTATATTATCATTACTCAATTCATCTAGTATAGGTTTTAATGACTACATATTGTTTCAAGGACTAACTTAATGGGTTGCAAATGTGATATTATGTTTGACAGTAATTTTACTTTCATTAAAATCTGAATATTTTTAAATCTGTCAGACTTTTCAGAGTAGCATCTTTATGTTTTAAAAATGTTTTCCGCCATGCCTAATAAATTATTGTGTGTGTACTTAGCCAGAAAATGTCATTGATGACATTTTACTGAAATAGTTATCTGCAAAACATGCACAATTGAGAGTTTGGGCAGGTTCTTTATTGATATAAAGGACTTTCATAACACCAAAAAAAAAGTTTCATTCTTTGTTTTGATTTTTGCTTTTCTGAATAAACTGTCTTGATTAAATGTATTAGAACTGACTAAAGTTTACAAAAAATAATGTATTCAGCTCTTTAGTTTATAAATGTAAAAACCAAATCATTTTATTGTTTTGTTTTTAATAACTTAATTTTTTTAGCTTATTTAGTAACACAGGGGATGGACCCAAAGAATCATCCAATCAAAGATGAGCTTGTATGTAACCAATTATTGTTTTTGTTGTTTGTTAAAATATTTTAATAATCATTAGTTAAAATAATAAATACCTTAATCAAGATGTTTTTGCTTAAGAAAATTTTTCAGATTTTGAACCCAAATTGCAACAACAAATTTAGAAAAAAAACATTTAATGGATAATTTATTTTTTTTTAACTTAAGTTTTTCTTTTTGATGCACCAAAGCCTACTATATTGACAGGTCGAGTAAACATACAACTGACATAGTCAGCAGTCATTAGCAGTCATGTCAATATTCTAACAAAAAATAATTCTAACAAGAAGTATATTTGGTTAAATTTTTTAATCTATGACCTTGTTTTTCAGGAGCCATTTTTTCAACCATATTCAAGTTTAAAAAGAAAGTTCAATCGTTTATTGTTTAATTAAAAAACAGCACGAACATCAGCAACAGATTTTTAATATATGCTAATATATGCAAATATCTTGATAAAGTCCTAGTTAATATATATATTTAATATATGCAAATATCTTGATAAAGTCCTAGTCCTTTTTTAACAATTTTAAAAATTTTATAAAAACTGATTAATAAAACAGTGGTGTTGTTAATATTTTTTATGGATGGATGGGTTTTTAAAACAGCTACAATAAAATTCATATATCAGTAGAATAACCTGTCTTTGAGAAATAGAAGATTTTTCAAATCTTATATTTCTCAAATCTTCAACATTTCAAATCTTCTATTACTCAAATCTCCAACATTTCTAGCTTTAGATGACAACTTTGTCATCAGAGATATATTTGGTAGTTCGTAGTCATCCCATAATCGAAAGTAAAGAGTTCTTGACAATAAAAAGTACTCAAATTCCCAGGCAGCCATATCAAGAGAATACTTTTTTTCACCAATAAACATTAAGGAGTTCGTACTTAACATCTGTTCAAAAATAATACTTTTCTTGTGACCAATTGGTAAAGAATTTAGTGTAATGCAGCATGGAGATGACTAATACAATCAATAATATTCATATGGTTATAAGAAAAAAGGTTTTATGGTGCATTTAACACCACAGTGATAGCTATTAAAAGATAAATCATTTTTTATTTAAAAAACAAACTTTAGAAAACCCAAATTGTCCAATATATCAGCAGATTGAAGATGTAAACAGTTTTAATAGATATTTGACATTATTGAGGAGGAAAAAGATATAGTTTTTAGACATTATTTTATTGCACAAATCTTCAAAGGATGAAAT